ACGGTGCTGTAACCTGTCTTGGCTTGTTGCCTATGAATACAGTGTAATACATGTAGGGGATTGTTTGGTATTCAATTAAGAGCTCTCTAAGCTCCTGTTATTAAAGCTACAAACTAGTGAGTGTAAAATTGAAGTTGAACAGTTCAGCTCTTTTTGACATTGAAACACTGTCTGAAAAGTAGTGATGTAAAGCCCAAGTCAAATGTCACCCTTTAAAGCCCATGGAAAAACGAAAAGTGGAAACATTGAGGGGAAAGAGTAAATGTCCAAAACTTGGTCATCTCCTAATGACACAGTACGTAATGTTAGGGGCATGCTATTGTGCTCATGCACATACATCAGCCAGTTTGTCGAACACAGATATTACATTGATTTGAACAGAAAGCTGCAAGGTTATTATTGCTAAAGCTTCAATGAAGGAAATAATTAAAGCATTAAGCATTTTAAGGTTTTGAAATGACTTTAGGCAATCACCAGAAAACACTATAGGAAATCGATATACTGTAATTGAAAGGAAATTGAATTGGTCTTTATTTTTTAATCCCTTCTAAATGTTCTCTAGACGGTCAGACCATGGAAGATAATGCATCTTGTTCTGCCATCAGCAGTGTGACTTTCTGTAAATCTCATGTGCTGCAGGGCCCACTTTTATTATTTAGAAAATGCTCAGCCAAATAGATTAGTATGAAATTTTGTGTGCATTATCTTTGTTAGTATCTGGCCTCATTGTTTAAAACAGAAACAACACAACCAGACAAAAACAACCTCTGAAGCAAAGTTAAGCTAAAAACATTTCAAACAATGAAACAGAGAAGCTGTTAGTTAAGTCTCACACTTAAACCTGAGTGAAATTCTAGATTCTATCTAACAATTTTCCTGTCAATCTTGCTCTGCTGCAAGGGCTATGACCCACTGTAGAGACAAACCCAGTTTGGATCTGTGTGAACCTAACCCATTTTTATGGCTTATTATTGGAAGGAGTTTTTATAATCAAACAGAATAGCTTGAAGTGAATCTCAGGGAGAAGCTTGGATATGAACAGAAGTTGAGGAATCTCAACCCTTGAGTAATCCTTGAAAAATCTGTATAAAATCAGCATTTCCATTATAATGGAGTAATAATGATACCTTCATCATTTGGTGGTTTTGAGAAATAAATTAATCAATATATGCACAGCTCCTGTGGCTCAGACAGTAAAGCGTCTGCCTACAATGCAGGAGACCCAGGTTCAATCTCTGGGTCGGGAAGATCTCCTGGAGAGGGAAATGGCAACACACTCCAGTATTCTTGCCTGGAAAATCCCATGGATGGAGGAACCTGGTAGGCTACAGTCCCTGGGGTCACAAAGAGTCAGACATGACTGAGCGATTTCACTTTACAGATGATTAGTACGTACTGTTCACTACATGGAGATTTCCTGGTGCCTCAGCAGTAAAGAATCCACTGCAGTGCAGGAGATGCAAGAGACATAGTCCGATCCCTAGATCAGGAAGATCCCCTAGAGAAGAAAACGGCAACATGCTCCAGTATTCTTGCTGGGAAAATCTCATGGACAGAGGAGCCTGGCGGGCTAACAGTCCATAGGGTTGCAGAGAGTCAAACATGACTGAATGACTTGAGCATTCATGCATGCGTACTATGTATGTGTTATAATTATTTTTGTAAAAATGATGATAATGGTGATCATTTCCCTTTTAAAAAATATCAATTAAGACTTTGGGATGGTCATGTACACACTGCTATATTTAAAATGGATAACCAACAAGGACCTACTATATAGTACATGGAACTCTGCTTAATGTTAGGGGGCAGCCTAAGGGAATGGCAAAACACTCCAGTATCCTTGCCTGAAAGACCCCATGGTCAGAGATGCCTGGTGGGATACAGTCCATGGAGTTGCAAAGAGTTGCACATGACTGAATGACTAAGAACACACACATATGAAAAGCCCCAGTACCATGACTGACACATAGAAAGTATTACAAAAAATGTTTTTTAAAAAAGCTCTATTCAATTTAGAAATTAGTATTAATTTCTTAATAATTTCTTTGTTATGACTGTGTTTATATGTGATATTCTTTATTTCTAGTTTTCCAGAGAGTCTGTATCCTGAATTTCTCTATGTCAAAATTCCATCTCTAGTTTTTGGTGACCACAGCTAACATTTAGCTAATATTAAGCATCAGGACAGGTGAATATGAAAGGATACCTGAGTTGAGTAAAAAAAGTTAACAGTTTTAAAATCTAGACTGCTTTCATTAAGAACAAGAACAACTTTTCAACTTTCTAAGTGCTATAATTCATAGACATGTGAAAAGGATGGCAAGAAAGAAGAAAGAAAACAGAAAGGTGAAAGAGCTTCATAAAGCAAAGGAGAAAATTATATGTTCTGTAGTATATATGAGAGAATCTGGCCAAACATTAAGAAAACTTCATATCAACTTATTGATCTGCCCACCATGCACACACTTGATATTAAAAATAAACCTCCAAGGAAGGACTTTTATTGGCTCGGGTCAAACAACCAATTACTAACAATTGCTAAACCAGAGAGTCAGAGTCATGAAAAAAGTTGGGGGATGAAAAAGGGAAAGCAGTTGTCTAGAGATGAAAAAAGAAAGCAATTCTCCAAAAGGCAGGATAGGGTTAGTGGCCATGCATGACCACTGGGAGAAATCAGTGTGAGTTAAAAAACAAAAAAAGTGAAAGACAGAGAAAGGAGACAGAGAGAAAAGAAACACTGTGTAATAATGTTTAAGTCTCTGCCAAGGTCAGAAGATAAGATATAGACACCTCCTCTACTTCCTCCAAGTGCTCTTTCATTATCAATATTTCAAACCCCCCAATACTAGAGTACTTTAGAACTTTTAAATCATTGACTGCATTTAGTTCTGTTCAAAGGAAGACATAATTAAGAAGAAGCTGGAAATTATATGTTTTTAATTGTTTGTCCAAAGCATTATTGAAACAAACTGCTTATCAGGTTTTGTTGTTATTCCAGTAGTAAATATTTTGACTAGTTAATACACCAAAATGCTGTGTTCAAGTTGGCACTAACAAATGTAATTTATTTAGAAAAACTGGCAATAAGTTCATCAAACTTAAAAAACAAACTCCAAGGGAGAAAAAAAAAAACAAAACCCTGTGTTTACTTTGGCAGTTGAGATCCACTAGTCATGAATAAGATGATGTCCTAAAAGCTATTCATTTACTTAGAATTAGGTAATGTAATTGTAAAAGGTGGATAGAGCAATGGAAATTTAGCTTTTCACTTTGTTTTAGATAGTTTTCCACCAATATCATTTGTTCTGTGAAATTAAACTCTTCTTGAAGAAGTAACTAGAAAAAGTACACATCAATGAAAATAATTGAGGATTGACTGGTTGACCTCAGAAGAGAACAAAAACTCAAAAGAAATTTCATAAGGTTTTAAATTTGGCAAGAGGACTACAATATCTCTGATAATTAGACTTTCAACACATTTGGATTTGCTAATTGGATCTAGGTTCTAATTAGACTTTTATGTAACTAAAAATGACACATCATTGTATGAATTTAATGTGCTTTTACAGTTGAAACCAACAATTAGCAGCTTTTTCCAAATTATTTTAATACAGAAAAAGCTGCCTTTTTGCTTACATGTGATAACCCCTTCTCTTAAGATATATTGTGTACATTTTAGTTTTCTTAATTAAGCGCCTTTTGAGGAGCTTAAAAAGAAACATGAGTTTTAATAGGAAGCACCTAAATTGTTTATTTGTGAGGAAGACTTGCTGGTATATTGATGACTTCAGAAGCTTCAAACAAAATGCAATACAAGGAAATAATACAGTCTTTAACAGGAAGCAGCACGAATAACCAGGTGCCCCTATAAACCATTCAATTGATCAAAACAGTCTCTGAATATGACTAAAGTTCTGTTACATTTTTAAAGTATGCAAATATGGAATAAGTTCCCAAATGGGAAGGCTCATGGGGCTGGCATCAGGATTAATGACATGGTGAAAGTGAAAGTGAAGTGGTCACTCAGTCATGTCCGACTCTTTATGACCCCATGGACTGTAGCCTACCATGCTCCTCCGTCCATGGGATTTTCCAGGCAGGAGTACTGGAGTCGGTTGCCATTTCCTTCTGCATGACATGGTATATCTTCCCAAAATGTGTGTTGCAACAATCTCTGCAGCTTTACTTCTTGAGCAGTTATCTGCTAATTCAAATCACAGCATCTTTCTTTCCTCCTTATCTTTGAATTGAGAGTCATCCATTTTTATCCCATTGGAATTTATAGGCAGTAATTTTAAAACTAGTAGCCCTCAGATTTTAATGTTACAAGAGATAACAACTACATAAGAATGTAAAATTACACCAGTACTTTAGAGAGCAAAGAGCAGTAAATCATTGCGAGACTTTAAGGGAAAGACTGCTGCCAAAATCTCCCATGTAGATTGATAGCACTGACAAAAAAGGCAAATTGCATTGTTTTATGTTCTGTGGATATCTGAAAACAAAAAAGCCTTATACATGTTTTATTTTCCTCCAGTAAAAAGTGTAACCTCTCTAACCACATTGAAAACCAGTTTTTTCCCCAATAAAAGCAATGTAAGATCTAATTAAAACTATTTAAACTGTAAGAAAATCTAACTTGTGCAGTAATTGATATATTAGAGCAGGCATTATGCTAGAATTATATGTGCTATTATTTTTCTAATTAGTGTATTACTGAGACTGAATTATTGTTGTATTTATAACTCCTCATTAAGTCAAATGTCTTCAGTGAGTCCCCTAAAGCCCGCTGGATAGTGTCATATGCCATATGATATTTAAAAGCAATAAATAGCATTTTTGATTGTTTCATTTGCTATTAAAAAGGAAAAACTGCACAGGACCTTTTCTGTTATCATTTATTCCAAGATTTATCATGCAGTTCTCTGAAAGATTTATATATAGGTGATTGGACTGTTCCTCAGGCAGAAAAGTGACCAAGCTATTTTATCTTTCAGCTTGGGTGCTGGAATCCTGTCACAGGGCTGAATGGGTCCCTGACTGACAAGAAACTGGAGAATAACATGCGTGGAGTGGTTCTGCGCGTGGTGACTGTTCTGGTAAGTCTGATCTCAGCCTTGTGGTTTTGGCTTCTAATAGGTTATTTTATCCTTCACTTCTTCATGTTTTATTAACTGATGTCACAATATTAAAAGAGCTTTTAGCAAATCCTAAAAGCTTTTACATACTTTTCCTTTAATTACAGTACTAATTTCATAACTTTCCTGGACAGCTTAGACCAGATTTCTATCCTTCTATGGTTTTCTACACATGATTAGATGGACTTCTCTCTCAGGCATCCTCTCACTGAATCTGATGGTCTGTGTAAATGAAGATAACCATGCCAAACAAGGGTGAATTTGATCAAACCCAGTACATTCAGTAACACTGAAACATTAGCAGACTAAGACAATACTTTCCTGGAAGTACCTACTTCAAAGTGAAGCTCATTCTATTGTTTAGTAATTATTTATTGAGTCTCAACTGTATTTAAAAGCTCAGTACTAATCCCTGGGGACACTACTAATTAAAATGGACAGATATGATTCTGTTGTTTTGAGTTTATCATCCAGTGATTCTGTGGCTATTACATGGGATTATATGTGTGAAACATTTATTATAATTCCATTTTGTAGAAAAAGCAATAAATGGTAACTGTTAAAATTATTCTATATATTATTATTTTCTCACATGATATATAAATAAAATGTTACTAGAAATAGTCTTCAACAGCAAAATGCTCAAATTGGTGCTGTCTAAATAGCCATAGCCATAAGGGATGAAGACATGCATTTTCCCTGCCTATCTCAATGTGTTTAACCTCATGCTACTTTATAATACATTTCAAAACCAAATAACCCATAGTTATTAACTTCAATTTTCTTCAGAAAAGCCCACTTTTTTTTAAATTTGAACAATTCTTTCTTATAGGCTAAAAAAATCACAGAATTAGTAAACATGAGAAGTGGTCTTTTTTGATGTGTTGATGCTAACTGAATGTCTATCAGGATTTATAACAGTGATGACTGCCCTTTGTACATGGTTTAATACAAATTAAGCAGACTCAACATAATTTCATTGTCTATAAGAAGGATCTGTGATATTCTCTATAAAAAGAAATTTAGAAGATGAGTCTATCTTTACTTTTTGTGCCTATAGTTTATTTTTAGCTATTGTTTTAACAAGATTTTCATTGTTTGGCAAATAATTATGAGTACTTGAAAACTTAATTGTACAGATGCTTCTGTACATACTCAAAAGTGTAGCTATGCATTTTCACTGATGTGCTAGTATTTTTTTAAAAAGGTATTTAAAGTATTCAGTTCAGTTCAGTTCAATCACTCAGTCATGTCCGACTCTTTGCGACCCCATGAATTACAGCATGCCAGGCCTCCCTGTCCATCACCAACTCCGGGAGTTTACCCAAACCCATGCCCATCGAGTCGGTGATGCCATCCAACCATCTCATCCTGTTGTCCCCTTCTCCTCCTGCCCTCAATCTTTCCCAGCATCAGGGCTTTTCCAGTGAGTCAACTCTTCGCATCAGGTGGCCAAAGTATTGGAGTTTCAGCTTCAACATCAGTCCTTCCAATAGAACACTCAGGACTGATCTCCTTTAGGATGGACTGGTTGGATCTCCTTGCAGTCCAAGGGACTCTCAAGAGTCTTCTCCAACACCACAGTTCAAAAGCATCAATTTTTCGGCTCTCAGCTTCCTTCACAGTCCAACTCTCACATCCATACATGACCACCTGAAAAACCATAGCCTTGACCAGACGGACCTTTGTTGGCAAAGTAATGTCTCTGCTTTATAATATGCTATCTAGGTTGGTCATAACTTTCCTTCCAAGGAGTAAGCGTCTTTTAATTTCATGGCTGCAGTCACCATCTGCAGTGATTTTGGAGCCCCCCCCAAAATAATAAACTATAATAATCTTTTCTCTAGTGATTAACATGGAAGCTCAGGTGAAAACCACAATAAAAGAAAATATATGTGCTTTGCTTTTGCCTTTGACATACATATTTTTAGGCAAGCTAACCTCATTTAGTCATTAAATATATATCTAGTACTTACAGTATGATAGAGTTATTTGGCAATGGGTATAAGATGAATGACACATATACTTATGTGCATATTTATACCTCAAGTTATACATAGACTCTTGCTGGGAAGTGCATATGTAATGAAACAGCTGAGATTTATTTAATACTAACTATGTGCAGACACCACCCTTATGGGTGAAGAGGAACTAAAAAGCCTCTTGACGAAAGTGAAAGAGGAGAGTGAAAAAGTTGGCTTAAAGCTTAACATTCAGAAAACTAAGATCATGGCATCTCGTCCCATCACCTCATGGGAAATAGATGGGGAGACAGTGGAAACAGTGTCGGACTTCATTTTTTGTGGCTCCAAAATCACTGGGGATGGTGACTGCAGCCATGACATTAAAAGATGCTTACTCCTTGGAAGGAAAGTTATGACCAACCTAGACAGCATATTATAAAGCAGAGACATTACTTTGCCAACAAAGGTCCATCTGGTCAAGGCTATGGTTTTTCCAGTGGTCATGTATGAATGTGAGAGTTGGACTGTGAGGAAAGCTGAGCGCCGAAAAATTGATGCTTTTGAACTGTGGTGTTGGAGAAGACTCTTGAGAGTCCCTTGGACTGCAAGGAGATCCAACCAGTCCATCCTAAAGGAGATCAGTGCTGGGTGTTCATTGGAAGGACTGATGTTGAAGCTGAAATTCCAGTACTTTGGCCACCTCATGCGAAGAGTTGACTCATTGGAAAAGACCCTGATGCTGGGAGGGATTGGGGGCAGGAAGAGAAGGGGACGACAGAGGATGAGATGGCTGGATGGCATCACCGACTCAATGGGCATGAGTTTGAGTAAGCTCCGGGAGTGGGTGGTGGACAGGGAGGCCTGGCGTGCTATGATTCATGGGGTCGCAAAGAGTCAGACACGACTGAGCGACTGAACTGAACTGAACTGATGTGCAGATACTCTACTGAGTTGTTTTCATGTATGATCTTATTCAGTCCTCATATTATTTTCGATAAATAAATAGTATTCTGATCCCAAGAATCTGGTTGAAGGAACTGAGACATACAGAGGTTGAAAAAAATGTGGATGATTTTACAGATAGTAAGTAGCAGAGAACTGAGATTCAAATCGAAAAAGTCATACTCTAGATCTCTTAACTTCTTCCTCCTTAACATTATATTTACTCCCTCTATTCCTACTGTGATAAGTGTGAGAATTGCAATAGCTATAGGATTTTCTTGAGAGGTAGAAATGCTTAACTCTGAATAAGATGAAAGTGAGTTTTACTGGGAAAGCTTCATAGAGCCAATTATTTTCAATTCATTTCTAGGCCAAGAAAAATGATTGCTATTTTGTGCATGAAATGGTATTGCCTCACACATTGTTAATACCTGTGTGCCCTATTCTAACCTTTGTGACGTGTAAATGATCCGTTTTCTTCAAGCTTAGCCCTTCACCGACCCTGAATGTGCTTAGTGAAAGGAGATATGGAAAGTCTGTTTCCCCAAAGTCTTCTGTGGTACAATATGGATTTATGAGTTGGGTGCCCAGTTGAGCAAAAGGTTGTTACACTTATTAAACTTCCTCAGTATACAGTCATTGTACTTAATAATTTTTCAGGTTTTCTGGTTTTTCCTGTAATTCCTATTTGAATGGAAAGCAGCCATGACTTTCTTATTTATTTCCTACAAGACCCTTTCCAGGTGTAGCTCCTACTTATATGACCTTGCAAGCTTCTTCCACCCAACACTGAGAATCACTCTTCCCTAAGACCATGCAGCGACTTTAAAATCATGGTGTCAACTAAACCTGAAACTCAGAATTCTATATTGGACTTGATTTAGTCACCTAAACAATAACCCTTTGTATTCCAAGTATTTACCGCTAGCCATTCCCAGAGAGAGAAAGGCGGGGGCGGGGCGGGGGGGGGGTGTCATGTGTAAAGGCCGTGAGAGGAGGTCTGTTAGCCTTTATTCCCTAACTAATCTAGTCCCAGTTATCCACACACACACACACCACAGATTCTTTACTTTTTAGGAAAGTAATGTTATCAAAGACACACAGGTTAATAGAATTGATTTTTCTTACTTAAATTTTGAAACTCCCATTCCCATCACTGCTAAAGGTACTGCATACACTTGAAGAAAATAATCTAATATTTATCTTAAACTAAATAATTCAACACTGTATTGTTTATGATGCCAGGGGCAAGTAAATGGGGCTCAAATGGTTAAGTAAAGAGAATTAAATGAAGGGATTATTAACAAATAATGCAAATTAAGTTGAATAAATCAACAAGGGTGTTGAAGTGCCAGGGCCTAGATGTGCAGCAACCCTAAAGACTGATGTGATGTGGGAGAGAGTCTGGCAAAGCTAGAGCCACGGAAGAGAAACTGCATCTTAGAAGTGGTGACTTTGGCTACGGAAAGAGGTTGGAGGAGAAGCACTCAAATCACATTCAGGCAGCGAAGAAATGGAGAGGTGGGGTGCTCCAAAGTCACTCCTCCTATCTTTCCATCTACTTCCATCATTTCCAATTGAAATCCAACCAGAAGTCAGAGGGCAGGGGAGCCCAAGTAATGAAGACCATGAAGGTCTTCTTCCTAGGTCACAGCGCAGGGCCGTGAGGAACTCGAGCGCAAACAAGGAAAAACCATCTTCAGCATGTTATTTGATCTGACCTGTTAAGAACTTTATGTGTGTTAACTAACTGAATTCTTACAAAAACTCTACAAGATATACGCTAATTACATTAAAGAATGAAAACAGAGCTCCAAAGAATTAACTAAATTTCCATGTCCGTAAAACTAACAAGAGCCAGAGATGAGTTTCAAGCCCAAAGATCCTGATCCCAGTGGCTATGTCTTTAGCCTTTCTGACATTCTGTCTTCGGAATCAGAATGAAAGCTTGTTAGGTTTAAGTTAAATGTAACTATTGGGATTACAGATGTTATTGAATTCCGTAATTTAAAAACATTTTTTTAATGGCATTGCATAAGGATAACTTTATTTTCA